TGAATGTTATGAACGAGTCATAGCCATCCACGCTTTTTACAGGAAATGGACCACAAATATCTGTATGAATGATCTCTAAAATTCCTGCGCTTCGTTTTGCACCCTTTTTGATGCTCTTTACAAATTTTCCTTTAATGCATTCTATGCATTGTTCTAAGTCTGAGAACTCCAATGGAGGAAGAATTTCATTCTTAACTAGTCTCTCAATTCTCCCCCTCGAAATATGGCCCAAACGATAGTGCCATAATTTCGATGAGACATCGGGAGTTCGCTTTCTTTTCTTGTTTTCTTTTGTCAATGAGGACACAACATTCACATTCTCAGAAAGAGATAACAAATAAAGCTCGTCTCGCAACACGGCAAGACCAATACATGCATTATTATGCCATAGTTCACATTTGCCACTTCCAAAGCGGCAATCATATCCATCAAAATCCAACTTTGATACACTTATTAAGTTTCTTTGCAAAGAAGGAACATAAAAGACATCTCGAAGTAAAAGTATGAAGCCATTCGCGAGCTCTAGAGGAAGATCTCCAACAGCTTCAACTTTTTCAACTCCATTGGCAACTCTAATGGTGCTTTCTCTTCTTTGCGTAGTCCTCGTCGAACGGAATGCCTTTAAACAATTACAAGCATGAATAGTTGCTCCAGAATCAATCCACCATGTGGATCTAGAGTAACCAACATAATGAGATTCATTTACAAATGTAATAATGTTCTCACCTTTCTTTGCCATGATCATTTTCAAAAAGTCAGGACAATCTTTCTTGTAGTGTCCTGTCTTCTTGCAGTGGAGACATTGATCTTTCTCAACAGCGAACTGTTGTTGCTGAGGCAGATGCTGAGACTGTTTACCTTTTGAGGTGGGAGACTTGTGGTTCTTTTTCTTATCTTTAACATAGTTTATTGAACCACCATTTGATTCTTTGATTCTCTCCTCCTCTTGCACACAATTAGCAATGAGCTTCTCAAAGTTCCATTTCTCTGGACTTATGTTGTAGTTGACAATAAAATTGTCAAACTGCTTTGGCAATGAGGCCATAACCAGATGGACCAGAAAGTCATCTGTTATGCCCAAATCCATTGGCTTCAACTTGGAAGCCATGTTGCTCATTCTAAGTATGTGGTCTCTAACACCACCTCCATGGTACCTTTCTGTCACAAGCTGCTTGATCAGCTGTGTAGCATAAGTCTTTGAAGAGTCAGTAAACTGACTCTTTATTCTTTCAAGGTACTCTGAGACAGCGTCACACTCTGGGATCGAGCCCAATATGGTAGGCTCAATCGTATTCTTTACCACAGCCAAACATTTCTTGTTGGCTAAGAACCATTTCTTTTGTTCAATGTCATACGACATGACGAGAGGAGCATTGTCCCTCTGTCTCTTTTGCCAGTCAGCATCTGACTCATTTTCACCTCTGACAAGTTCAGCAGGTTCTATAGGACATGGGGTAGTCAATACCCAGTCCACCTCTCCCAAGATAAAAGCAAGGTCGAGTTTTCTTTTCCATTCTGCGTAGTTATCTCCTTTTAGGGTCGGAATATCTTTAATGCAACCCATCAAGGAGTAGCCACCTGAAATAATCATGTGCGGTGAGAACAAAATTAACATCAAAATATTATGCATTAAGCCTACATCACCGTTGGGCAGAATTAGACATAACACATATAACCATAACTATAATATTGCAATTAACAACGTTGGTCAGAAAATTACAACATCATAGCACATAATTAATGTTCCTAAAATTAAATTCTCCCGTTGGTTCGAAATTTAATTTTAGAAACACTAATTTTCATCAATTACATCTATTTGCAGCGGAAAACTATAAAAATCATATGAACAGTAGCAAAATCTCTGTAATTCTCTCTCTGTGAAAATTCTCCCGTTGGTTCAAATTTAAACAGAGGTAAAACATGCAAAAAACTATTCAAAATTCTATTGAAATTTGCATGAAAATTGACAAAATAAAATGGAAAATTTCTACTGTTCTCTTTTATTCATTTTCGGCCCCCGAGGGACCTAATTTGAACTTTTGCCGGCGGCCCACGGCCCTTTTGGCACGGGCGGGCGCCCCCTTTCCCCAAGCCGCAACCTGGGCCTGGGCCAGGAAAACCGCCCCCCGCGCGCGCCTTCTTGGGCCGATTTCGGCCCGGCCGGCGTCGACCGTCCGATCAGCTAGGGTTTCGATCGGACGGCCGGGCGCCGAGATCGGAGGATCAAAACCCCCCTCTCCCGGCCGGCCGCCGAAAAACCCTAGATTCTCTTCTCTTCTCTCTCTCACGCGACCGCGTGGACGGCGTCGCCATCGCCGGCGACCTTCGCGCCCGCCGCGCCATGGCCAGCGCCTTTTCTCTTCTTCTCCGCTCCCCCCACCGTCTCTAACCCCCACCGTGTGAGAGAGAGATGGCGACGACGGAGATGGCGGCGCCGCCGCGGGCCCCCTCGCCGGTACGCGCGTGCAGGTGCGCGCGCGGCCGTCGAGTGGCTCCTAGGCGGCGCCTCTTTGCCCCTCCCCCCCTCCGTTGCCGGCGTCGGCGACGGCCGGCGACGAGGTAAGATTAGGGTTAGGGTTTTCGGCTCTTTTGATCCGTGCGGATCTTGTGCTTTTCTTTCTTTGGATTTCTTTTCCCGAACCGATCTAAGCCCTAGGGTTGCTCTGATACCATTGTTAGACTTTGCACTAGGATCACCTAGGTTAGATCTAGTCGGGTGGTTCTATTTGGGTTTGATGAACGACATTGTCGATGAAAGGGAGAGGGTTTAGATACCGACCGGTTGAGGAGTTCGAGGAGGAAGAGGCGCCGGACATCGTCGTTGTCGTCGCGGCTTGACGTAGATGCGGCGCCGGTGAGGTCGACGGCGATGACGGCTGCGGCAGTGGTGGTCGTAGACGTCCCGGCGATGAGGCGTGGCGCGGCGGTGGCGTTTCCCGTCACTGGCTGCCCCCCTCTCGATCGGATTAGGGTTTTGTGGGGTGGAGTTGGCGGCGGCGGTGAACTTCGTACCCAGTGCCGTGCCGGCCTCCACCCCTCTTTTATATGGCGCAGTGTGACGGGGGCCCACCAGCCATTGGGCTGGGCGCCCCCGATCAGGGCGCGGTCAAGGCCCCCTTGAGCCGTTGGGCTCAAGGGGAGGGAGATCTATCTAACACAAAATAGATAACAAAGTATATACCGCTAGTAACTTAAAAAATATGTTAAAAAAGGCATATACCGATACTAACTATAAAAAACAGTATATACCGATACTAACTTAAAAAAAAAAGATACCGACACTAGCTTAAAAAGTAGCATATACTACTACTAACTGAAAATGTAGTATATACATGATCAGTATATACTACTATACTACTAACAAAAAAAAACAGTACATACTACTACTAACAAAAAAAGGTATATTCTCCTTCAATGAGTATACTTAAAAAATGAGATATATACATCTCTGATGATTATTGTAGTATATATAGTACTTATTAACTAAAAAATAGCAGATAATACTTATATTAACTAAAAAAGGTATATACTTCCAAACAAAAAAAATAGTATATATCAAACAAAAAAAGTATATACTGACCAAATTAAAAAATAGTATGTGCAGTATATATCAAAAACTTAGTATGTCTACTGACCAAACAAAAAAACAGTATATACTCATTCAGTACGGACGTAATATATGCTGGAAAGAAAATTAAAAATTTGAAAGCAAATGCATACCAACGTTATCGTTTGAGTGAGCACCAAATCCGGTGTCAGCTGTGCACATGCATACGGTGGTTTCAAATTAATAATTTCACTTTAATTTGGATGCTAATGGATCATCCATTAATAAGGGGGAGTACATACATCTAGGTGTACAGAAGAGTCGTCATGTATATATATATATATGTGTGTATATATATATATATGTGTATATATATGTGTGTATATATATATGTACATGTATATATGTACATGTGTATATATATATATATATATGTATATGTATATGTACATGTGTATATATATATACATGTGTGTGTATATATATATACATGTGTGTGTGTGTGTGTATATATATATATATATATATATATATATATATATATATATATATATATATATATATATATAATGCCCGTGTGTTGCACCGGGTAATATCACGGTGGATAAAGTTCAACTAAACGATTTACGTAGTCTAGTACATAATTTTGTTTGGACAATATTAACTCGATCTACGAGTAGGATATTCAATTCTCGCATTGCAAGCATGTGTCTTACTTTCAAAATCATATATGGACTCCGCGTAGAGATTTACTCAAAGTCTCTTGGTGGCCACGCGTGCTTTCTCACTATGTCAAAACTCGCGTTGCAATCATGTGCTCTCGTTTTCAAAATCATGTGTAATTTTTAATCCTTATGTCAAATCTTTAATTTTTTACAATCGGTTTTTTATGTCAAACAAATATTAATTGTGGGAATATATTGATTTTTCTATATATTGTATTTGCGAGAGTTGATGGCACATGTGTATCATAAAAATCGATGTCTTTTTGAGGTATTATGTTTTATTTCTAAATTTCATTTATGTCAAATATCAATAAATATACCGGGGCATAAATGGAAACCGAACAGACATGGAGGAAAAATAGAAAAATTAAATTGAAAGCTGAACCGACTGGAGGTGGGAAAAAAAAAGAAAGCAGAAGTTTCTCGTTTCTTCAGGGCTGTTTGGCACAGCTCCAGCTCCACCCCTCCTGGAGCTGGAGCTCAGCCAAACAGTTTTAGCTCCACCAAAACTGGGAGTGGAGTTGGGTGGAGCTCTCTCACAAAATGAACTAGAGTTGTGGAGCTGGGTTTAGGTAGCTCTACAACTCCACTCCAGACCCAACTCCTAGAGCTAAATTTAGAAATTGGAGCTCTCTCTCTCCTCAGCCTATCTTTCTCCCCCAGTCCCCCGTGCTTATCCTTTTTACTTCACACTTTCTCCATCCTTAGCAGCTCCCCTCCTCCCACATACTCTAGGGCCATGTTTGGCAAATGGGACAGAGAAATGATTTCCCACTCACCATAAGACATCTTTAAATCCTAACCATTCATTCTCCCCCTTCCATTTAATCCTAATCATTCATTCATTTCCCAATCCCAATCCCACCCCTTATTTCCTATTATCCAAACACACCCTAGGCCCTAGCTGCTGATGCTGGACATGGAAGTGAAGGGGTCAGAGGAGGATCTGGACCCCCTCTCCGGCGACCTCCCTCCCCAAGCGGCAGTGTCCGGATCGCGAGCCATCGGCGGAGGGCCCCATCGTCTCTCTGCCCCCCGCTCGCACGGATCTACCGCCGGCGACGACGGGAGGGGCGGAGCCTCCAAGCTGCCGTTGCTGCTCGCGTGGATCCGCCGTCGACGGGGATGGGAGTGGCGGATCCGACGAATTCTTCCCCTCCCGCATGGATCCTGTCGTCTCTTCGGCCCCCTCTCGTGCGGATCAACTGTCGACGGCGATGGGAGGGGCGGATCCGGCGACCTCTTCCCCTCCCGCACATATCCCCGTCTTCTCTCCACCCGTCTCTCGCGCGGATCCGTAGGCGGCGGCGACGGGAGGGGTGGTTCCGGCGACCTCTTCCCCTCTCGCACGGATCCCATCGTCTCTTCGCGCCGGCGACGACAGGAGGGGCGGAAGCGGCAGCCTCCCCACTGCTGTCAGTTCCGGCCACTGCCGCACAGGTACTTTATTTTCTCTAAGACAATATATCATGTTTTTTATGTGAAATCTTGGGTTCATTTTGCATAGGAGCAATCCTGCAGGGGGTTGATAATGTGCCGATGCTTCAGCTACATATAGTTTGGTGCTATTTTGTGCTTCGTGATGTATCACGCTGTATTTTTTGTACGCGCTGCTTAGGTGGTGTTTGATCCAGGGACTTAACTTTAGTCCCTGTCTTTAGACACTAATTTAGAGTATTAAATATAGACTACTTACAAAACTAATTACATAAATAAAAGCTAATTCACGAGACAATTTTTTTAAGCCTAATTAATCTATAATTAGAGAATGTTTACTGTAGCATCACATAGTCTAATCATGGATTAGTTAGGCTCAATAGATTCGTCTCGCGAATTAGTCCAAGATTATGGATGAGTTTTATTAATAGTCTACGTTTAATATTTATAATTAATATTCAAACATCCGATGTGATAGGGACTTAAAAGTTTTAGTCCCATCTGAACAGGGCCTTACTCTCACTACCCTATAGGAAAATTGGATATGGAACTGCAAGTGAGGCTTTGGCCTGCAAGCTGCAGTTTATTTTTGTCCGCAGAGATTATTTTAATGAAGAGCCATTCTTGCGGATTTTACTTGAGGTTGAATCATTTCTAATCAAATTATGCTAGGAATAACCTATGTGCAGCTGTGCGTAAAGTGTCGCCATGTCCCATTCTATTTCAGCACTACCAGAGCAGTATTGAAATGACCAGAAGGGAGTTCCTTAATGGGTACTGGAAACTTTATCTACTCCGTGCTCTCACACTTGAACCATGCTATGATGGTCCAACAAATGGTGGTGAGGTAATTTTTCAACTGATTTCCCAGGTTATTGCATAAGTTCATCCGAACGGGCCAAAGTTCACAATATTTATGTGGTTAATGCAATAACATTTTATTAAATGAAAAGGATAGATGAAGTCACTGACGCATGGCTTATTAGTCTTATTATAATTAGCGTATGTTTGTGCTTATCTGGCTGGAGTGGTAAAAGATAGGTCATTCAAAGATAGGAATTGCAAAATGGACCGAAGTGCTCTCTCTGTGTTTTTTTTTCTTATACCATCTCAAATACCCTATTTAGAGATTCAGTGGTGGTAGCATGAAAAACATAGATTTTCCAAGTATAGATGATCGTAGTACGCTTTGGAGTTCTTGAACCTTCTGTGCATGTTTTATCTGACAATATCAGTACTTTTATGTGATTCTATTGGCCATATTACTTCAAAACTTGATGTTGGCTGTGATTTGAGAATGTTGCTAAACGTGCATTTCCTCAGTTGTATGTTAGTTTTAATTTCTTTTCTAATTTTGTCATGAAGATATGAGCTCGGTAGGCACTTCAATGTCTTTTCATGATTAATGTTCTGCATTCATGTGAATGTCTGAATCGAAGGACCTGTCTAGAACATCCATGTTGCTATGTGCCACTGAACAACTGAAAAATATGCCTGGTTCTAACTGGCTATCTGTTCTGCATCGACAGGAAAAAGAATTAGATACATATTGGTAGATGCGTCGACACAACTGCATTGCCCTTCACAGGTGAAACGAATCTAGACAATCTTACCACTATATGTTAATTAATTAGATGGTACTGTTAGTTCATTCATAAGCTGCCTTAGAAGTATTTACAATTGAAATTCTATTAGGATATTTTTATTATTAATGGAAGTGCTTCTGTTAGTAATTGTTCAAGGACCTTGGGGTAGTTATATTCAATATTAATCCCATAAATCTGATGAAATTGAAATTGCATCCAGGGAAGAGCCTGGGATCCACATTGATTGGAGGTGGCTAAATGCCCTAGAGGAAGAGCCTTACGATCTATATTTTCTTTTGTGCTTCTATTATTTCTATTGCCTGTGATTGTATTTGTGTATTTTGGCCTGCGACAGAAATATGTAAAAACACGTTAGTGGGCGTGCTAGCTAAAAATAGCGGAAAGAAAAGTGGGATAGAATCTAACTCGGATAGAGTCGAGATAGAATCTGACTTCTGCCGTGGGCTGGCTAAACTGGAGTAGGAAACGGTGTGAGCGGCGAACCAACCTGACTCCTGCGATTTTTTTTTTGTATGTGATCTTTTTTTTTTGGCGTGAACCTGGACTCATGCCTTTTTTTTCTTTGTGTATATGTGATATTTATTTTTGGGTGAAGGCTTGTAGATTGAAACTACCTAGAATTCTGGAAGCAGTCTGGGCTTGTGGGCTTGTGGATGTCTGGAAGGTTTGTGGGCTTGTAGATTGACCTGTAATCCTTTTTGTTGGATGAAACTGGAGCATGGGCTTGTCAATGGACCTAGAATTCTGGAAGCGGTTTGGGCTTGTGGACATGTGGATGTATCTGATCGGATAAAAAAAAATTACCGCGATGACGGACGAAAACGCGGACCGAAAAGAAGCTGACGACTGGAAAAATCCGAATATATATATATATATATATATATATATAACGACTCTTCTGTACTCCCAGGTGTACATACTCCCTCTTCCATATTGGATCATCTAATAGGATCCAATTAGGACCTGCTTAGCCGGTGGGAAATTTTTTTTGAAATTCCTATTTTTCAGCCGAACAGGGAATAAGCCAAGTAAAAAAAATTAACTTGAAAAATTTCCATGCATGTCGGCTTGGGATTGGTTGCACGCCTGCATCTACGAATTTGAAATGTAGTATTTGTGCACCTTGCTGTAGCATGGAAATTCGTGACTTATATACTGTTTTATTTTACATTAGCTATATACTTATTTTTTAGGAACCCATATATACTATATCTCTGTTTGAAAGAGTATATACTTTTTATTTGAGGATCCAGTATATACTAAAAGCTGGTTTGAGAAGTATATACTACTTAATTTAAGACTATTCGTATATACCGTTATCTCTAGAGTCTATTAGTATATGTAAAGGTAGTACCAGTAAATACTTTTTTTAAGTTAGTAACAGTACATACTTTTTCTATTTATTAGTAGTAGCAGTACATACTGTCTTTTATCGTAGTGTGGTAGTATACTGTTATTTGGTCAGTACATACTATTTTTGTTGGTTTAGTAGCATTATATACTGTTTTCAGTTTAGTAGCGGTATATACTATTATTTGGTTAGCGTTAAGTACATACTATTTTTGTTAGTTTAGTAGCAGTATATACTGTTTTTCAGTTTAGTATAGCAGTATATACTGTTTCTTTTAGTTAGTAGTAAAGTAGTAATACATACTAAGTAACAGTACATACTTTTTGTGTATCGAGAAGTGGTATTATCAAATAAATGGGCATATATATGCTCACCGATTCATTCTTTGTATAAGCGTACAAGATTAATTCTTAAGAAAAGTGAGTAGTATATTGCCCAATTCTGAGTGTCGTGCAACAGGTAGATCTGCCGGAGCCCCGGTGTAGAAGATGAATAATCGCACTGACCGCAGCGGCCGCGCACCCCTTTGCGATCGAGGCCATGCATGCCTGGCCTGGAACGTTGACTATTGCTCTCCATGCCCTTGATACATACGTGCATGGAATGAAGGAATCGATCTAAACAGAAAAAAAATCAAAGGGAATCTTTTCGATCTGCAATGAAGTACTTACCAGCTCCATCAAAGGTTCTGGACAGGACGACTCGATGGATCAAAAAGGATGGTACTGAATCATCGATCAAAAAATGGAGTTAGCAGAATCATCGATCAAAAAATGGAGTTAGCCGATGCATCACATACGCGTAGAAGGCCGGACGCCGGCGTTGACATATTCCAACCGCCGCCGCCCCTGGTAACGATGAAGTCACGGTGAGCGGACAAAACACATCGCCTGGTGAAGCGCGCCGACTGGACAGACGAAGGAACACGACGTCGTGCCACCATGTATGTTTCTCCGACGAGGTGGATCGATCTGTCAGCGGCAAAATCTCGCCTGGGCCGGGAAACGTCGGGGGAGATCGAGCGAGTCGCCGCAATCGGCCGCCGCGGTTGAAACAAGATTTTTATATGCGAGCAGATCAGCATTGGCCAGATCCGATCATTAAGGATAATTAACAATTCCAGTAATTTATTTTGGAAAAAAAATCAAAACGGGTACGATGGGATCCGATAGCAGGGCCGTGGATGCTCAATCGATGCCGAGCGCTGATCAACGGTGGATAGGGTGCGAGTACGTACTCCCAGGTGTATAGAATCATTTTCCTATATATATATATGTATATATATATATATATATATATATATATATATATATATATATATATATATATATATATATATATATATATATATATATATACACACACGGTGGCACTACGCAGCGCCACACACAGGCGCTGTGTGCCAAGGAACAAAACGGCACCACACACAACGAGGAAAGGCAGCCCACCAAACCAAACCAACTGATTGTGGAGTTAAAAAGTAACTGGCGGAAAATGTGGCGGAAACGAACCGCATAGACCACACGTCCAAGCGAAGCCGTGTGAGAAGTTAAAGTTTAACTGATACAAAGAGTGGTGATACGCTTCGATGTTTTAGATTATGAGTGAAAGTGCATCTAGGCCCCTAATGATTTTGGTGATTAATTATAATGCGATTAGAGATGACTAATATTTTTATTTAAGCAAATATGAAGGTTGTTATGCCCTCAATAAGTTAGCGTAATGCATATCCCGCCGAATACGTTGATGTGTATGATGCGGCAAATGAGCAAATGGTATATTGTACCTTTTTCTTTCGTTTGAGTCAATAGGAATGCCACACTATTAAGAGGGATGATGCATTGACATATGAGGAGTGATCAAAGTGCTCAAAATCAATTTTTAAAAAGTGTTTCTCCTCAGTTTGTTGTGTTCTGGAAATTTTCGGAGTTTTCCGAAAGCCATTTTCGGACTTTCCGAAAATGCACAGAACCAATTTTCGCTTTTGGGAATTTTCGGATATGTCCGAAAAACATTTTCGGACTTTCCGAAAATGACTGTGAAGGCAAATGTGGTTCTGTTTATTTTCGGACTCTTCCGAAATTTATTTTCGGAGTTTCCGAAAAACTTCAGCAAAGTCAAAAATCGCTTATGTATATTTTCGGACTTTTCCAAAAACATCCAGAACGATGTTTTGTAGTACTGGAAATTTTCGGACTTGTCCGAAAAGTTTTCGAAATGTCCGAAAAATCTTTCGTTGACTTTGCTATTGGTGCTGAGCTAGAATTTTCGAACATGTTCGAAAATCTTTCGGAATATCTGAAAATCTCAATTATTGTGCATAACGGGCAGAATCTGGGTTGTGGCTATAAATAGCCCCCTCCCCTCACTTGTGAGGACTGCTGGTTCCATTCCAATCATTTGTGCCCTTGGCTTGCTCTCTCTCTCTAGCACTTTTGAGCTTTGCTTTCTTGTTTCCCCTATTCGATTCGGATTTGGTGTGTGTGTGAGAGTTGTGGATTCGAGTTTGTGTGAGTGCTTGTTGTTGACTTCGTGAAGATTTGTGAGCACTTGCATCATCTCTGGGAGTTCTTTGCATCATTTGTTACTCTTGGAGGTTGAGGACTCCTAGGCGGCTAGGTGTCGCTCCCGAGCCACCGATCTACTTGTGGTTGGCCGGGAGAAGTTTGTGAAGGTCGGATCTCACCTCCGAAAGGGAAGAGATACCCTTAGCGGAAGGAGGAGTGCTTAGTACAACCTCTTGAGGAAAAAGGTTAGCTAAGACCCGGCTCTTAGTGAGCTTCTCAACGGAGAGTAGAATCCCCTCAAGGATTCGAACTTCGGGAACAACTTCGTGAGCTTCATCTTTGGTGACTTTACTTCCTCCCTCTCCACTAGCTTTGCTTGTTTGAGCCACTATAGGTCTAGTTGCTGTTTGTGCTAGCATATTCTTGTTGTAGGCAACTAGATCTAGGATTTACTTTGCTATTTGTGCTGACTCCGAAAATTTTCGGATATATCTGAAAATTTTGGAAATATCCGAAAATTACTGCTTCCGCTTTTAATTGATTTTTGAATTAGCCTATTCACCCCTCCTCTAGGCCTAATTGACACTTTCAATTGGTATCAGAGCCTAATCTCCTAATTAGGCTTAACCGCTTGGAGAGATCATGTCAGGCCAAGCGGGGGATGGGATCGATGGTGATAAGGGAGCTAAGATCCCTTATGACTATCCCCCTACATCTACATCTTATGTGAGTACCTATAGCAGCAAAGCTCCGTATTTCAATGGTACGGACTATGCCGCTTGGAAGCATAAGATGAAGATGCATTTGAAGTCTATTAACTCATCTATTTGGAGAATAGTCAAAAAAGGCTATGTTTTGTAGAATCCCGAAGATCCCACCAAGGAGGATGATGAGAACGAGCACAAGAACGCTCAAGTCGCTAATGTAATACTTAGCGCCTTGAGTGGAAGTGAGTTCAACCGTGTGGATGGCATTGAGAGTGCCAAAGTGATTTGGGACACGCTTCGGAACTTGCATGAAGGCACGGATAGTGTTCGTGAGTCCAAGGTGGAGATACTCAAGGGGCAATTTGAGAGATTTGTGATGTTGGATGGTGAGAGCCCAAGTGACATGTATGACCGGTTGAGCAAGATCGTCAATGAGATCAAGGGACTTGGATCCAAGGACATGACCGATGAGGTTGTGGTCAAGGATGGTTCGAGCAATCACTCCAAGAAACTCTACCTTGGTGACCATCATTCGTGAGCGTCCGGATTACAAGACTCTCACACATCATGATTTGCTCGGATGCATCCTTGCCCATGACATGCTCGTGCAAGAGTCTAAGGATGTCATCCAATACATCAACCAAAGCTCAACCGCAAGCATCAAGAAGGAAGACTTGGCTTTGAAGGCAAAGGAAGAAGAAGAAGAGAACCGCAAGAGCAAGAGCATGGCGGAGATCGATGGTGAAGAGATGGCTCTCTTTGTCAAGAAGTTCGGCAAGTTCATGAGGCGAAGCGGCTTCTTCAAGGGAGGTTCTTCCAAGCACTACTCCAACAAGTCAAGTGGAAGACACTCCGCAAGAGTGTGCTACGTGTGCAAAGAGACCGGGCACTTCATTGCGGATTGCCCCCACCTCAAGGATGGTTCCCACATCAAGGAAGATAAGAAGAAGGGTGAGAAGAAGGATGAGAAGAAGGAGAAGCACAAGCATAGCAAGCGGGAATATTATGGCCAAGCTCACCTTGGGATGATCTTCGGCTCCGACTCCGAGTCAAGCTCAAGTGAGGAAGAAGGAGTCGCCACGTTCGCCGTCAAGCCTTCATCACCACCGAGACTCTTCGACTACTCAAGTGATGAGGATGCTCCTATTTGCCTCATGGCAAAGGAGCCTAAGGTACCTTCTCCTCTCAAGTCATTTAATGTTGATCTTGTTAGTGATGAGGAGGATGAGCTTGAGGATGATGTTATGGATGACGAATTGTTCAAGTCCATAACTAAGGAATCCCTACCACACTTGAGTGAGTTGCTTGGGAGAATTGAGAACCAATATGCAACTCTTGAGAGGCAAGAGGCTTTGCTCATTCGTGAGAAAGAGCGGTCTCATGAACTCAAGAGTGAGCTTGCTAAGGAGAGAGAAAAATGAGGCATTGGTACGGCTTTACAAGCAAACCAAAGAGTCTCATGCTAATCTTGAGATGGTGAACGCTCAACTTCAAGAGAGAGTGGATGGCTTGGACAAAGCATACCTCTGTCCAAGCCATCCACTCTCTCTTGAAGAGAAGTTCGAAACCTTAAAGAATAGTCTCTCTCCCTAGCGAGCCATCTTGTTCCAAAATTGTCCCAAGCAATAAACCATGTGTAAGATGCAAAGATATTGATATTGAAGCTTGTGCTACTAACTCTATTTCTTTGAGTGCTTTGCAAAAGCAAAATGAGAAGCTTATGGGACTCCTTCACAATGGCCTACTTAAGTGCCATATGGGTAGTAAGGCCCTAAAGGAGTACCTAGGCTATTAAAGGGACAACTTCAACCATGAGGGTCTTGGGTATGTTCCTCCACCAAAAGGAAAGGTGGACAAGAGTGTGATGATCAAGAGGCCCCAAGGTCTTAGCAATTTTGTTAAGGCCAAAAGTATCATTCCTAATGATTATGCTTCACATTGTTCCTTTAATGCATCTTATGTTCTTAGGAAGAATGCTAGTGGTCGTGTTGTTGCTAAGTATGTAGGCTCAAGGGGCAAGAATATTTCTATCAAGAGAGTACTTTGGGTGCCTAAGGCACTTGTTACTAACATGAGAGGACCCAAGCAAATATGGGTACCTAAAACTAGAAATTGATCTCTTGTAGGAATATGTCTCCGGTGGAAGAAGTTGGGTGATTGATAGTGGATGCACCAATCACATGACTGGAGAAGAATCAATGTTTTCAACTCTTGATCCAAATGGCACTTCACAAGATAACATAGTCTTCGGGGACGATGGAAAGGGAAAGGTTGTAGGATTGGGTAAGATTGCAATATCTAATGATCTTTCCATTGCCAACGTTCTCTTGGTAAAATCTCTAAACTACAATATTTTGTCCGTTTCTCAATTATGTTCTATGGGTTACAATTGTCTTTTTACCGATGTTGATGTGATCGTCTATAGAAGGAATGATTCCTCGGTAGTCTTTAAGGGTGTTCTCAAGGGAAAGCTTTACCTTGTGGATTTTTTCTCAAGTAAAGCCAAACATGAGACATGCTTAGTGGCTAAGTCCAACACGGGGTGGCTTTGGCATCGGAGGCTAGCCCATGTTGGTATGAGGCATCTTCACAAGCTTCTAAAGCACGATCACATCCTTGGACTAACAAATGTTCAATTTGAGAAAGATAGGGTGTGTAGCGCGTGTCAAGCCAGCAAACAAATTGGAGCACATCACCCCGTCAAGAATGTGATGACCACTACAAGACCATTGGAGCTTCTCCACATGGACCTCTTCGGACCAATTGCTTATCTAAGCATTGGAGGTAACAAATATGGTCTTGTTAT